TATGATATTTTTACGCTCCAAACCAGAGAAAAGCTATGGGCACGTCTCAGCCAGCCGAGGACTGACAAAAAATCTTGACCGCCAGAGGACCTTTTGATGTGCAACCAAAATATCGGCTTGTTCCACAATAAGCCTCCATCAGATTGCGGGCACCTCGGCTGGGATTTGAGCCCGCTACCTTGTGACCCGTAGGCCGGCGCGTAGCCTCGGAGCCACCGAGGAGTCTAAATCGGGGGTCGCGCTGCTTATAGATCGTACACAAGACAGTCTGCATAGAGATTCGAACATGGGTCACCGCGAGAACCGTGCTTCGAATGCCGCATGGCAATGAGTACAAGGATAAAGATTGGCACGCAGCATTCGAACCACGGGTATTGCGGTGATTCGTGTTTGCAGATTGTCTTTTGTATGATGGTATGAGTACTCTTAGCCGGGGTCGCACGCGTTTGTTTTGCAGGCAAACGCGTCACCGTGCTTTTGTTTTCCCCCGAAATCAAGCAATGAAGGCGCGTCATTGGTTGCCTCGTCATCGTAAAGTTTTTAACGTGCTTTTTGTGCAGCTTTAAACGTTCTAAGACGAATTTCGGAACACTTGCTGGCTGTAGAATTCCGAAACAAGGACGCGATGCCAGACAAGGCGTTGCTTTCAGAGAAATGTGCTTCGAGAGAATTGATTATCGGAGCAAGAAAGTACATTTGCATGGCACCCCAAGTTTGCGTCGTTACTGTTTGCAACATTTATTAGCGTTTATTATATACAGTTTATGAAGTAAATATGTGATTGTTCATATCAGTCTCCATAGGTAAGACGAATGAACAGAACTATCCTTAGCTCGAGAAACTTTGTGTTTCCTCTCTTCCCCTCGCCTACCGTATTCAATGTTGAATTTTCTGCGTCGAAAGTCTTCCAATTGCATTTAACGACACAGAAGTATGTCAAGGGTACGACCCGATAGAAACTAAATAGCTTAAAATAATATTTTCTTCTGACTGATAAAAGCAATCGAAAATAGAAAGAAACAAATTAGGTTCCCCGCAATTATATGTTTTCCTCCAAATGAACTGATTGCGCAACTGTTCCAAGGGTCATGCAGCATTTTGTTTTCTTCAAAGCTGCCGGTATATTTTCATAGGAACATGATAATTTCGCGTGACTTGAGAACGCACAGAAACTTTTGTTACCCAATTTTGTTCTTCGAATGGCATTACTTGTCTTCTATAGATATATGTCGTGTTTGTTGGTACGAATCTAAACGTTTGGTTGGCATGCGGGTATTTTTCTACTACAAAAAGTATGTTACGCGTTAACGTCTGACTAAATATCTAAAATTTATATTTACCCAGAAATCGCCTAGTACATGCATGAAGTGAGCGTTTGAAAAAACCCCAAAGCCATTTTTAACAAAACAGCAACGACGCTGCCCCTAAAAAACTTCGAATTTACGTGACTAAAATTACTTAGACCTCACGAAATAGCTATATTGCACACCCTAAAATAGCGATGCTGGCATCTGAAATTCTTTTACTTTCGCATGAATACAAATATTTCAAAATTAACACTAAGAAATAGTTTGAGACATCCGTTTTCAGTGAAATAGAATGTGAGACCGAACCTATCCGTAAAACAAGACAACTTACAAAGCCCTACTTCCTCGGGCGCAACAAACTTACAGTTAAAAAAAAATTGTATCTAAAGACAACAAAAGAAATCAGTCTTCAGGAATGCACACTCAAAATCTAGAGTGCCTTCTGCGCAATTTCGGCGAAGTTGCCATTCAATCACGGCGAGACAAGAGCAATAATCTTCAGTTGGGCACAAGCGCTGATCAGATTACGAGAAATTGGCTTCGTCGGAGACAATTTCACCAGAAGCCCACGCCGCCTCTTACATTTCCCCACAAACGATAGATACAACAAAAATTACGATCGAAGCGTCATCAAGGTAACCTCTCCAACCAAGCCTTTTCTCCCCGCACAGCGATATATTTTCCCCACCCAGTCCCAACGACTGAAAACAAAAAAATCCAAAAGACAAGCTTGACATAGTTCGTTTTACCTTACAATGGAGCGCAAAAGACGCCACGAGCTATCCAATCCAATCCAGCGCTGTGAACGTGTCACGTGGTTGCCCGACATCGTGGGCATGCCTCGGCTACAGGGTGCTATCGCTCCATCTCCTCCACAATGTCACGTGACACTCACGTGGCATTAAATTGACTGCGACGGCTCGCTACGTCGTCCGAAATCCATCGTACGCAAAGAGAGTATTTGGGTGTAGCAAAAAAATAAAAGGCTTAAGCCTCAAAGTTGCGCGTAGCGCGCCCCATTCGTTCTCTCGAGCCTCCGAGAAGACGGAACGCTGATTAAAACGTCATCTGCTGCGATTCCATTTCCGAAGCAAGACGACTTACCTGACCCCGCTACCATATTCTTCGGGAGCATTTTATGTTTTAAAGCCCGCGCATATTGCACCACGCGATTGGAAGGCAGAGAGAAAAGAAGAAAAATTAGAACGCATATGCATTATTCGAGGCTCGTCTTTATCCGAGATTAGATATTTATTTTTCTGGCGCGGTGTACTTCCGCCTGTCACGAGTGTGACAAGCGACAGTCGCCTTATTTGCGGAAATTGAACTGAGCGCTAATGAGACGCGGGAAGCCGGAAGCGAGACTTGGGCGTTACGCCCGCTGCGCGCGCACTCAGGGTCACAAGATGGAATCACCGTGCTCCGTTGACCCCTAAGCTGACAGTAAAGTGGCAGCTACGCGTATGCCGGACTAAAAGATCGCCTCCATGTTGTCACCCGGCCCAGCTCTCTGCGTGTGAGCATGGGCGGTGATCACGTGGTGAAAGATGGACGCTCGGCGAGCATGTAGCTTTCACCGCGCTGTCGACGTAGAGGGAAACTGGGCATAGATTCGACGTACTTCTATCTACGCTGGCATTTGCCTATTCGTGTCCAACAAGAGACAACAGCTGGTCTAAATTATGATTGAGCGTAGAATGCAGTATGGTATCTGAAAAATGACCAACAAAGAAAAGTGACATCGAAGGGACGTCGTCAGCGTCACGCGACCACATGACGGGTTTACAGTGGTGGCGTGACCACCGTAAGGTAAATTTGGCGTTCTATGTCTTTTTTCGTGGCCATTGCAATTTTGCAATTTTCGTGGCCATTGCAAAAGTGTTGCCGCCGCAACAGGGGTCCCTCGCGACCACTCTCCCATTAGCTGGAATAAAAGCGATCGCGTGGACATCGCGACAACCAATGTAGTCCTATTTGGCGTTCGCAGTATGAGTCACGGTACATTAACGAATGCACCGAGATGTACATACACATGACAAAAATACGGTAGCAACATTGTTTCATCTCGAAGCGAGACATCCGGTTATGAGCAGCACCTCCTGGGTACGAAGGCCATAGGAGGGTATGAGCAACGCCTGTGGATGAATTTTCATTGTCATCCTCAGGAGAAAAACGCGGGGAAAGAACCAGACAGAAGTGCTGCGTCACCGTTCAGTTAACACTCGCGACCTCACTGAGTAAAAACAAGTCTAGGTCAAACGCAGGCGAAAAACTCCTGGGGTGTTCAGGTCGGGAGCAGAGTTTCTTCAAAACCTTACGGCAATAAAACACGCCGGGGAAGTTTGCACTCATATTTTTTTGCGACAGTACACTGCGCATCATGCTTAACACGAACATAAAATCCGCAGTTGATTTCCCTTTTTTCCTTTTTTTGCAATTTAGGTCAGCACGGTAAGAACAGTGTTTTTCATCACCTTAGTCCTTGTCCAGAAGGAGCGAATTCAACCTAGCTATATCCACAAAGACGATGGGAACGATAAGGGAATATATCAGTTGTCACGCTTCTAGCGCCAGTTTTTCAGCTTCAATAACACTTTGGCGTCTGGCGGGCTTCGAGCGTCCGGACAAGCAAAGCACGACGAAAGACAACGAGCGCACCTGGAAGACGGGAATCGTCAAAAGACGCTGTGCTATTTTTGTCCTGCCAGTGACCATAAGTGATTTGATGGCATTTTTTATTTGTAAGAGGAATATTACAGCTGAGAATTGCTTATTGTTGCTCAACTGTGTCCCGCTTCATAGCGTTTCACTTAGTTAAGTTTGCGCTTCTTCGCTACATGAACAATGAAACAAATGCAGAAGGATGATCTAGCTCCTTCCTAAAAATCTTTTTTTTTTGTCTAATTAAGCTGCGCATGCCGCCGAACGTTAATGTTTCGTTATGGGAAAGAGTTAGTGCGCAGGCGAGCTGGTGAATACATAAAAAAGGGAAACCTGAGAAGCGGAAGGAACCAATCCCGCACTACCACCAATCACCATAATCGTAAACAAAACGTATTTTTTGCATCAACGAAAAAGAGAGAGGAAAAAAACGCTAGGCTGTGACAATGTTGAATTAACCTGTGACTGGGGAAGAGGAGAAACATCAAAACTTAGTACGTGACCTCTTACTCGAATCCAGCAAAATCAATCGAAACTGAAACTTTTCGCGCGCGACTATAGGAAGTATTTACTGGCGGCCATAGTTCAGTGCGCGACTGCTGAGCGCGTGCTGATGGCCAGCTTCCACTGTTCTTTTGCAACGTGCATTCCACACCATCAGGATTGCGGGTCTTAGCAGCCTATTAATGTGGGCTCGTTCTGAGCGTGCGCTCTAGACAGCACCCACAAATATGGCGCCCAGTGAATGCTCCTTACAGACTCAGTCTATAATCCGGTTGAGTCAGTTCATTTTTGACCTCCTTTTTCATTATGTAGATTAATTAGTGGAAACCATAAAGCCCCGGTCGCATCGCAAATGCATCATGCAAAATACAGGATGGAGGCACTGTCATCATGCCTGTCGCAAACACAATGTTTTTGTGTTTTTTTTTCTTTTTTTTTAGTATGATGTTCGAGCAGTTGGACTGTGGCACGAATGAGACCTTGTCAAGATTCCTGAGTGTTCTTCTTCACGAGCGTGTTTGTACTCACAAAGCAGCGGTAGCTGTCTCCATCCGAGTAGGGCAGCGCGTGAAGCTTGCGCTGCACCATCTTTCCCACCAGGTAGTACGCGGAGCCTTCCTTCCACGTCGCCAGGCAGGTCAGCTCTTCCACTGCGTAGACCGAATCCAGATGAACATTTGGAAGACAGGGAACGTCGGTGCGCCTAGAGAGGACGCGTTTCGTGTTCTGCCTCGATAGGAAACGTACGTCTCAAGAGAAGCTTGCCCGAAATTACAATTTTCTTTTCATCGCAATATTTACGTCGCGAGAATATAAACTTGGAAGCGTGTTGGTTTTTGGACGAAGACGACAGAAAGAATAACACACTTATGACAAAGGGAGAACGGACACTTCTCCTTTGAACTAGCAACAACACAGATACACCGAATCCCCTAGCGGAGTGTTTTTGAGCCCACCCCTGCCCAGAAGGAAGAAAAAGGAAGTTATACAGTAAATACGGGATAAACGGGGACAGAAAAAGTGTGACCAAAAATTTCATTGCCGGTTGGAAGATGAAATGCAATTATGCCAATTGCGGAGTAAGAAATTCAATTTCATCCGTAGTTAAAATGATTCAAGGCGCCTAAGTATTAATATTCATTGAATTCATGCTGAAGGTTTCTGTACTTTTTCTGCCAAACCTGTTACTGTGCCCTCCCGAAATCCTCGTTTGCTCTAAACTCGGAACACAACCACTGCACATGCTGGAGTGAAAGACAACGGGGTGAAAAGAGTCTGCCGAAGCTTTTGCAACTTCCAGGTGGTGCTCGCGAAGTCGGTGCTTAATGCACCTGCACGTTTGTCCTATGTGCTGTTTTCCACACCCCAAAGGAACGAAATAAACCTTCTGCTCTTAACATCGAAGGAACTTGATAGTATGCTTGACTGTGCATCATTCAGGCTTCTCGCTCGAGTTCACTTTTTGGGAAAGCTGCTTGAGGCGCCGCCGGCAGAAAATACCACGTTGATGTACCTAGAAGCAATTGCTTTTGTCGATGCACTGATTTATAAATGTATAAAATAACCGCAAAATGATCCCGCTTATTGCCTCTAGTTGTTGTGTCTTGCCGTTGACGGCCAAGAAAAAATCTCTGCGGGAGTGGCTTTCCGAAGATCCCCTGAATAACCAGCCTTGACAAGCCTCTGATGTTGTAAATGGAAGCTTTGTTTCGGAAAGGTGAGGGCATGATTTCGTAAAAGAGAAGACAGACTTGACAATGCCAAGTTTAACAGTTTTAGAATGAGCACTTGTTTAAGGGTAACAGCGGCTTTTTTGTTCTCTGTCTTAAGTGCGTTACTCTTTCTGTCGTCTTAACGTCGCGAGGCTTATTCTTGTTTAGGAGCGACTCCGAAAGATTTTTCAGTTTAGAGACGTGGACACTGAAATAAAAGATGCAAGTTTCGAAATCGCTCAAATGAGACACGGGATTTTAATACCGCGCTATTTTATTTGATTTTCTTATATGTGGGGCTTATTTTCTGACAGACGTGTTCTATTAAAACTTTAAAAAATCGTTAATGCTCTTTTCTTCAAGAAATTCGGGTGAGAGGGGATCTGATGAGTTTAAATAAAAAATGAAGTTCATGTTATGTTCTCGTACTATGCAGCAAATTCCAATTTCTTTAAACGGCCACTTTATACGCGTGGTTTGTTTTTTACTGCACTCGCTAAAGTCCTTAGTTCACACTGTGTCGCCACAAAAACAAATTCATGAAATACTTAAAGATATTGCTTTCGATTATGTTATTAATAATTGAGTCCACACGGGGGCTCCGTCGGCGCTTGGTTCAAACTCGTGTCGTCGCTGACTGAATAGGAGCACAGACCTAACGCTGCCGTATTATTCATGACTATGGTGCAAGGGGCCCTTCTTGAACTGGTGCGTTCAACATTCTAAACCAACCACACATCGAAAATTGGCCCCGAAGTGGCCACAAATGACGTCACGGGATCCGGCCTGCCATGTTGGCGGATGTCGCGATCCTGGCGGTTGATGGTAGAAGTTCCGAAGAACGAGCAGAACGCGAGTGTGGCTGTTGCCGCGGGGGCGTTCCAACTCCTGGCTACAAAGCTTCTGTGGACTGTCACAGTGAAGAGCGACTTACAGTGGTACAGGTGTTTGCCACATTCACCACCTCTGCTGTGACGCCGCCAGGGTCGTGGTCGGCGATCACGTGACACTTTTGTGACGTCGTCAGAGACGGAAATCATGGGAGCGCCTTTTGGGACGCGGTAAGCAGAGAAGTCAGAGACGCCTTTTAGGCACTATAGTCGTTGCCGATCTATGCCCAGCCATGATATTCGGTGGGTGACGTAAAAATCCAGCATTATGAACTTGATACGTTTTGGTTCACGATAAGTCAGAGCACAGCTAAATGTTACGAACAGATGGCGCAAATCATATAGCATTGAAATTGAAAGGTCACGGCGTCCATCCTTGTTTCGTGCGCATGCTATTCCCTCGACAACTCAAGCGCTCTAAATGTGCTGCTACGCGCTTTTAAGACTGTTTCACACACTTCAGTTCATTTATGATTGAGTTCCCGTGATCTAATACGACTGGCACCATCTATGAGGTGGCCCTTGAACTGCACTTCACTAGAGTGAAGCTTTTGCAGTATTTGCAACATCCAATTCGCGTTTAGTTTTGATAATTTCTCGTTTATAACACTCTAGAAAGTTTTTCGGGCCAATATAGAAAAACTGATGCGTGAGAACATAGGTATGCGCAAATCCCAAGTGTTCCACGGCTCCCCGATAGAAGACGCCAGGGCGTTCTCTAGTCATAAGAGATCACAAGAAGACATTTGGTCGTAAGCAGGCGCGAGTGCGTGAAGCAGCATTTTGACCATGCGGCTGAGTTTGTATGCCTTCGAGCCTGTGGTGGCGTTCTGACTTAAACTGGTAGATTATTCTTCGAACTGAATGCTCATAGGCTACTTTTATTATTAACAAGTTTCGCGATTTCTAAAATACTTGTAGGTGCAACAATAAATTAACGCATGATAATCAGTTTAATCTGGCAACCAGAAAACACTGGCCAACTTAGTCACAACGTGTTGCCCCTAAACCACCCATTTACTTAGCCGCCCCCATATTCAAGGCGCTCCCATGCTCCCGGAACCTGGTTGTTTTCCACGGAACGATCTCATACGCTCACGCTGATAGGCTACTACCCCCCCCCCCCCCCCCCCCCCAACGCTACTCTAACTCTCGCCTTCTTGCTTTCCGTCATTCTGCACTGAATGCACGGGCGAGGCCGGCCGTCGCGAATAACGGCGAGTTCGTCCGTCACAATATCGTCCTCGTCGCTGGAGCTGGGCGCCAGAGGGTCGGAGCCAAAATTACCGGCTTCCAACATCTTTAGATAACGATTACTCTCATCGCTCCTTCTATCAGCGTCCAAGATTTTGAAGAAGCGAGCGATTCCATAGGCGTCATTGTCTCGAAACAGGGTGTTAAAGACACGGAAGGAAAACGAGGAATCTGACGCCCGAGGCGCCGGAGAGCCAACTCCGCGAGTGCGTGCATAGGGACGCCGCGCATTAGGCGAGTGACGTCACCGACCCAGCATACATCAGCCTTTTCGAATAGGGTGGATCCGAAGCTCCAACATATAAATCGATTCATCCCAGAAAATCTCCCGTCTGTTCGCAACAAATTTCGCTAAAATATAGGAAGATACAATGGATAGTAGCAGCATCTCATATTTCATTTATTGGCGAAGTATAAGAGGCAGGGTGTCTAGCGAGTTATTATTGTGAAATTCCCTGACTTTTCCAGGTTTTCCTTGACAATTTCAGGTGAAATTTCCTTACCACTGTAGAAGTGATAAAATATATAAGACCATTACCACACAAGGCATTGAGCACTGAGTGCTGTGAGAATCATTTTAAGCGGTTCAAACCAACCTGCATATTCCGAAATATTCGGGTTCGTCCAGGCCGGATTAAACGAGCCCATTCTTGCCGCTGGCATCATCAGGGAAGCGGCCACTTGCGGAAACACGATGAAAACACGACGCTCAACCACACACGTCTATAACCGAATGGCAGCATGGCCGCCAGATGCACACTTTCGGATACTTTCGGCATAAGGCTTGGATTGGATTGGGGTCTCCGGACTTTTCATTTGTTAGTACATCTAGCACTTCTAACTGAATCTAGCTTGGTGTCGTGCCCGCAATCCAATCCAATCCAATCTAAAGCTTGGACTGGATTAGTCGGTTGTTCCTTTTGCATCAGGTAGCACACTCTACATCGGGTGAGCAGAGCCCGCGCTCCGCTCTAAGCAGACTTTATTGCCTATTTTTCTGCCCCTAAGTCTTCAAGTCTTTGCTAAGGGCACTCGATGGCTTTCCGGCTCATTTTTCCTGGCTGGGATCGCTTTTTGACAATTCCCTCATTTTTCTCGGTAATTAAAATTTCCGTGACAATTTCCGCTTCTTCCCGGTCGCTAGAGATCCTCAGAGTTGACAGACGGGCATGGTCGTGCGCGCACTCCAACAATGTGCACGAAACGATGGGCAAGAGACTAATTATGTGTTTCGGAAAAAGAGAGAGATAAGCGAAATAGTAGGGTTTAATCTGAAGTGTGCGGCACTAAGAGACGCGAACTTCGCCTTCATTCCATACGTGTTTACTCGCAATAAAGGTAGCATTTACTACGGATATCCGTTCTACGTTTTGGGATTATATATGTTGGATAAATTTACAGGAAGTAGTAATTAACAACAGGGGTCTGTAATTTCGAGGTTTTTTTCGTGATCACCGTGTCTGTAAACACAGACTATTTTTGCTTTCATTCAATCTACATTTAGATCCCCATAGAAAGGCGCAAGAAACAAATATCAAGAATATATTCCAATTTAATCCTGGGAACCACCTTAAAAACTCGTTATACGAAGAATCGATCCCGGAAACGTTTCCTGGTTCAATAATAATTAATAAATTAAAAAACGCCTGCCTCTGATATTTCACTATCCTAACTCCCGAGGTTAAACTGTCTGAAAACCTTAAAGCAAACTGCTGTCTTATCTGAATACTAATTATAAAAATGTAGTTATGTCATGTAATATGACCTTAACCTTAACGGGCTGGCGGTAGTTGA